TCAGTCTTTTTTAGGTTGTTATTTGTATAATTTCTGCATAGAACTATTTAGTTGTCTTAATTCTTCTTTTATGTCTCAAGCTCATTTTAGCCCCTTGCTTTGATTGTCTCTCCTAGCAATTCCACCATCTGTTTGTTGCTGGCTGGTGTAGCCTTCTGTCTCCACTGAGCAAACTGACGTTTATGTTTGTCGGGTGTTAACGGCAGAGAGATACTGAGCAGCTTGTCTATCCTAGTCCTGAGTTTTGGTAGACCCTGTTGTAGCATCCTCCCTTACAAAGGGCTTTTCTCAGACTGAGATTTCTCCAAGAGATGAGCCTGATTGCTCTCCATGTGCCCAGACTGTTCAGCGCAGAGCAGGACTCTGCTGCCGGGTCACCACAGGCACATTCCTCCTACTCCTCCCTGGGTGGGGAAAACTGATTTGAAGTCTAGCAGCCTGGAGTCCTTCAGCAACTCTAGCTTATAAACTAGACTCTGCAGTTGTAACTAGAATTATCTGAAACACATTTTTCTTCCTAGTGTTTTCTGAACTGGCAAAGCCAGTGTTGGGAAGAGGAATCTCTGCTCTAGAGACAACATTCCAAGGGATGGGTGTGTGTAATTGCCTTGTTTCTGACTCCCATCTGTGTTTCAGCTTTAGTGTCTTCTCTTTAAATTGAAATTGCCAGTGCTGTGACAAGTAATGGCAAAATGGGGGCAAAGAGCCATTTCATGGCTGTTTGACTTGTGTGACTCTTCCCAATCCATTTTCTAGTGTTCAGGAAGGCAGGTATTAAATGGAAAAGCCTGAATGCACACCTGGAGTGAGCATCCCTGTCAGAGATAGTGGTCCAGGTTTAGAGCAGATTATTAACACATCCAGAGTTGTGTTCAGTTCTGCTCTGTCCTCCTGGTACAATGGGAATGAGTCATTTCCATGCACCACATCTGAGTGCCTCCCTAAACATAGAGAACATCACCTTCCCATCTCACCAGACATCCATTTCGGAGCTATGAGTGTCAGGCAAAGGGAAGGAATGTTGCAGACAGCACTGCCCACACTGAATTTCTTCACTTGTGAGCACAAGAGCTTTATTTCAGTGTCTGTCAGTCTGATGTTTTTTACCACTAATTGGGAACATCTTCTCTATCCTGTATTTTGATTTTTTTTACCATTTCCCAGCAGCTGGAGACTAAACAACTACTGAGCTATAAAAATGGAAAATGTTTTTTAGTACACTTTAATGATGATTTCCTTGTCTGCGTCACATTCATGGCAGTGTGTAACCATTTATTGTTAAAGACTACCCATTTAGGAGAATAACACATTGGGTTATTACTGGGTTTGTCAGTGTGGAGTTGATTTTACACCAAAGGCAGAGGGAGCTGTGCAGGCACTGAGACTCAGGGCATCGAATCCTGCAGCAATATTTAATTGGAACAAGTGTCCCTGTTTTTTGAAACTAAAGATGGGCTATCCAATTAAACTTTCAAATACCACAAAACTTATCAGCATGTCTAGGAGTAAAAATAACACCATCCCAGCCCTCAGTGTTATGAAGGTGAGACAGAAGGTCAGTTTGGATGAGCTGTCAGGGGGAACATTCAGTGATACAGCAACAAGACAGATAACTTCTTGGTCAAAATATGAGAAAAGAGCTTCTGATTTTCTTGCAGTGCCCAATTCCAGACTGTTCAGTGGAGTTAGTGGGACAAACTCTACCTGCAATGGGATCTCAAATGTTGTCATTAATCTATGGCTCCCAATACCTTTTATCCTGTTTCTCTATTCTTGCATTCCTTCCAGCCCCCTCTTCCAAAAGTTTCCTCAGCCAGTTCCAGTATGGGAATGGCCAGTGAAATACTGGTGTCATTTCTCAGAAAAGAGAGAAAAATAAACAGTGGAATTCAATCCTTGAATTTCATCAGTTACATGCACAACCAGGCAAGGAAGTAATATAGCAACATAATTCTTTTGGGCATCCTTGAAACTCTCAATGATACATTTAATTTGGAACCACTAAAATGCCATTACATGCTAAATACCTTCTGATACCTAAAAGCACAGTGAATTGTGCATTAGGACTTAACAATCATCTTATGCAATAGGTAATTATCTTCCCAGTATTTTGATTTTTAATCTCAAATCATTTCCCATAATGACACTTCTTTTGTTGTCCTAATAATAACTGTCTGCTAAATTTAGAAATAATTATACATCTTGGGTGTAAGCATTGCTACCCTGTGTTGTCAACCACTACTGCAGATTCAGACACTCTCAAGAGGAAGCTTAAACAAGCTGTACTGACCTTTAGCTGTCATCCTACGAAATATTTATCTATCCCAAGGTTACCAAAGCACTGTACATGCACTGAACTAGAAGGCAGCTTTAGCCCCTTGTTCATGAAGGGACATAAAAAGTCTCTGGGAACCTGTGAGTGAGCTGCCAACACCTTGGATCTGCATCCCCTGACTTAGCTGGTAGAAAGGGTGGTGAGTTTTGTACCAGTCTAAATAGCAAGATGGGAGTGAGGAGTGTTTTGTTCAATTCGGCACAACTGCTGCAGTGACTTTACTATCATTTTTTATTTCTTTTCTATCATCTAACCTATTGTTAGCAACCCACTGAGATCTGACATTGAATAATTGTCTTCACAGTTAAATATACTTCCTGAAATCCTTATTTTACTGCTTTAAAACAGAGCACATATTTCCTGGTGTATGTATCGCTAAAAATAAGCAATCTAGGAGTAAATGAGGATGACTTAGAAATCAGAGGAGCTTTTAGATTGAGTCATAGAACCATGGAATTGTTTGGGTTGGAAGGGACCTCATTCTGACCCCCTGCCATGCGCAGGAGTCAACTGATACAATCCAAACCGGGAGGAGGACGGGATTGTATCTCTCACACACGGCTCACGCTCCAGCCAGAGCTGTGGAAGCTGTTCCCATCACTGGAAATTATCGGGATGTGAATTGCAAGCACATAGCAGATTTTATTAGATTTGTTCTTTGTGCATGTCCTCTCCCTGTGAAAACCATCAATGCACAATTCTGTGACAGAATGTCAGCGTAGATATGTTGGAGAAGAGCAGATGCAATGGTGCCGGCGCGGAAGATGTTATTTCAGCCCAAGGAAAATTACACATCCTCATTCCGGCTGACAACCTAAACAATGCCATGCTTGAAACATAAATGATACACTGTTTAGCTGGAAAAGCCATTAGGCGTGTGATGGAGAGTGGAAGTGAGCTAACAGCCTTCCCAGAACAAATAGCACTTTGCGTTTTACATAAGCAAGTTGACAGGGTTTTAAAAATTTACTTCCAGATTTTGCTTTTTGAATAGAAAACAAAAATTCAATAGCAAGAACGGAGACCTGACATCGCTCCACACCGTGCAGCTTGCTCTTCTTCCTGCTGGTACACCTCCAAAATGGGAAACATGCTGATGGATCCACCCAAGAGATTTCCAGCCATTTCTCAGCAGCCAGACAAGTCTTCAGTATTCCAGCACTTTTCTTACTGCTTGTCCAGCTTTTATTCGAATCTTTGTTGGTCTTAATCCATTAATAATATTATGAAGACATTTTGCTAAAACTTTAGTAAATCAAGGCACATTTTGCCTTTTATCAGGAATGTAATTAAACAATTACAGGATGCAGGAGAAAAGGCCAGTCTCATGTTGCTCTCATATTGATCCTCTTTTACTGCCTTTTTATTTTAAATTGGAGTAATAGAAAATAGATTTGGGAGAACTTTCAACAGGTCTTCCAGTCCATCCTTTGCCCTAAGGCAAAATATACTTATACCAGTTCTGACAGATATTTGTCTCATCACTTTGAGTGTTTTTTAATACCTGCAATGATGGCAATTCCATGTGCTCTCTAGACCACTTATTCCTTAAAAATAGAAATTGTTACCTAATGTCTAGCCAAAATGTAAGCCCATTATTTTCTATCCTCTGAAGTGGATGCAGAAAGAATTACTGCATGAAGGAGAAAGTGAGGGTCAGAGCAGGGTGGTAGAGACACGTCAGACTGTCCACCCACCTAGACTTACTGATATTGTGGCAGAGGCAAACTAGTGTAAAAGGGACTTGTGGGAGGATTAAACTCCAGTTCTGCTGAAGAACTCCACAGCCTCCTTCCTTACCCTCTCAGGACCCCCTTGGGGTGTGCAGTAGCCAGGTTAGGGGTGCAGGAGGGGAACAGGCACAGCTTTAGCCCCACAGCACAGCGTGTCCTGCTTTGCTTTGCAAAGAGGGAAAACTTGTTTTCAGCAGCAGATTGTGAAACAAAGAGTTTACTTAGGAAAATAAAAACCACAATACTCTGTGTCTGACATACTGAACTGCCTTTTATGTTACATTTCTTTCTCATTGAAAGTAATTTCAAGTCAGAAACAAGTGGGGATGAGGTGGAACTTGTTTGCATGTTTTTAATGTCAACATTTCTCCCAGAAAGATGAGGAACTGAAGGTGATCTGCCTGATTTCAAGTAGGCTGGGTGTAGCTACTGTACATTAAAATATTCATCTTTTCCACTAATTGCTGTGTGGGAGTTAATCACAGACTGAAAGAACCTTTTGTATTTTCTATTGTACATACCAGCTCTAAAACATCGCTCCATTATATTATTTTACTCCTCTGTCTCTGGTACAGGTTAGTATTTCACTATATTATCAATCATAAAAAAATCTTTACTTCAATGATACAGAGACAAGGGCATTCAAAACTGAAACTAGGATTTGGTTGAACAGGCAAGTTCAATTCAGACACATTTGCTGAAAGGAAACCTCTGCTTCGTAAGAGAGGAAAGTTGAGTCTCTCTTGTGATGTTATAAAATGGAGTTTAACTCTTGCTGTATTCACAACAAAGTGGTACTAAAAGTCAAACTTCTTAATTGCCACCTCCAAAGATGGTAGGATTTTATCTGCTATTGTTCTGTTTATTTTGTGTGGGGTTTTTTTTCAGGAGAGATAATCTGAAACTTATTTCATACACATAGATACCCATTAGACGTGGGAATTTCAGTTTTTATTGTTTGCACATTCCATTTGAAGGTACTGGGCAACATTTTCAAACATTTAAACGTGCATCTACATCTCTTTAGAGATCTAAAACCAGATCATCAGAGCCAGCACATCTGAAAATAAAAACATACATCTTGGAGGCTGAGTCCAACTTCTTGATGTCCAAGTTGGTCAAACTACATTTCAGAAAAAGTAAGGAAAGATATGTCTGTGCCTGAGACAGTCAACCAGCAGGCTAAAAAATATCACTTGAAACTCAGTACTATATGTTTTAGGCTCTGACAATAAGTATCAGATGAAGAAGAAAACAGAGAAATGGCAGGAGGGTGTAAAGGGTAAAAAAAAGATGAACTATGGGAGGGACTAATGATGAGGGAGAGAATGTTTCCAGTCTCTGTTTAACATGAGGACTAATCTTGGAAACATGGGAGCAGCAAATCCTTGTGTGGTCAGGATTGAAATTCCACTGAAGCCTAGACATGAGTCATGGGATCACTGTGTCCAGAGTGATAACTGTACATTAGAAGTAATTATTTGAACAGTGCTTGTTTTCATGCACAGAGGAGAACCATCACTAGATAATCAGAAGAAAACAAATTCAGTATCAGTGTAAAAATCCTGCTTTCTGTGGATAGTGCAGTCCTGTATCCATGGTTAGTGTTCTTTGTGAACAAGGATGTTTGGTCTCACCATCTTCTGGAGATACAGCACTGGGGTTGTAATGGACTTCAGCTATGGGAAAGAATTGGGAAAAAATTTCCATTATAATTATTTGGTTTAATGTATTTAGAAAGAATCCTGTAAGAGTCTATGCAGAACTCACTGTTTTAACACCTTTGGGGAAATAACACAGATCAGCATGTTTCCAAAAACAACCAGGAATGTTTGGTGCTATTCCTGTTTCAGTAAATGGCTCTACAACAATTTCTTCATCTTGGAAGGCAAAACATTCTGCTGGGATTCTTCTGGATTAAAAAGACTCACAGCAGGTCTTGTTCAGCTTTCTGGAATCCCCAAGATCTCAACTCTTTCGGGAATGCAATTCCAGTTAGGGAGCACTATTGTCTATCTCAGGACTATGATGCTTCCTAACTGGAAGTAGGTCCCATGTGAGTAGCAGCCAGCTGGCCCAGGGTAGAATATCTCTTAGGTGCCTAAGATGGAAGCTGAGCAGGGTTCCCTTCCTTTTGGAGAAGAGCCATCCCAGGATTTTTAGGGCTTTCTTACTTTCCTTAGTACAAGAGAAGCCATGTGTAATGTAGCCATTAACCCCAAACCACACTCTGGCACAGACAAAGCAGTGAAAGATTTCCTATTTATTTCCATTGGTTGAGATTTGACAGTCACCATATGGAACCTATTGCATTCCAGTCTATGCAGTGCATACTGTTTTTCTTACCAATCTTGAAATTTCTATCTGGAGAAGACCTGGGAAGGAAATCTGAACCATTGGAAGTTGAACTTGTTCCATTAGAATTTAGACTCTGCAAAGCTTGGGATGGTGATTTGCGGTTTAAATGCTTTGGTGTAGATCCTGCAGTTGCACCTGACCCACTCCAGTCTGAAATCAGAGAGTGGAAGGCACAGGAACAAAATTCTGTACAGATATCACATCTCAAACAGCCAGAGAATAACCACCCCTCAGACAGCCAGAGACAGCAAGACATCTCCCTTCTCCTTCCTGGGCTGAGCAAACCCAGCTCCTGCACATAAGAAATAGCTAATAGCATGCCCACTATTCTGCATAAATTTCAGAATCTCAGCTTTATGAAGATTGGAAAGTCACCAAAAACACTGCTCACATAAGGGAACACTGAATGGCATGTGAGAACAGAATCAGAGACCAAGCTAAAATCATTTTTGGAAATCTGCAGTTTTTACTGCATGCTGTCAACCCATCATCATATCATATAAGCAGTTAATGGGAGAGGATCAAGACTTATTAAAGAAGAATCATCCAATGCAATGCAGAAAGGCTACTGAGGGAGCCTTATTTCTTAACGTAGAACAAATGTGGCACCAGTAGCAGACAAAGACTCATGAGTCAAGCTAAACAAACCCCCTCAGTGCTTACCAGAATAGTTACTCAGACGGAATCTTCCCCAGCAGAAGTGTACTCGGCACTGCTTCACTACCTCGTCCTTCATTAGGCAGTGAAACACAAAGATAAAGAACCCTAGAGAAGCAAGAAGAGAGATTAATGTGTTTTCAGATGTATTCTCCAACCCAGTGTCCCTTTTCTAAACGTTTGGCATGCCCCTGATACCAGTAATGTTCTGCATGGGCAGAGAGCTGGTCCCTGAGCCAGCATTGGGATCTTTAAGGTCCCTTCCAACCCAACCCATTCTGTGATTTCATGATCTTCTTGGCCCAGAGTGGCACCAAGTCCTTTGTGCATATGGAAGGCTGATAGGAATAGGTTTCTACAGATTTTTTATATGAATAATCTGCAAGTCACTGTGGATTTTATCAACCATTTTTATGCCCAGATGAAAAGGATTGTGCCGGCTCCTAAAAAGGTGTGTTTATTGGTACCCATGTTTCCAAGGCATGAATTCATGTCTTTAATAGTCTATAACAGCAATGCTGTCTAAACAACACTGTCATCCCACTGCAACAGAGCCTTCCTTTTAAAATAGCTAAACCCTGTAATACAGAAGCTCTCCTCTTCTCCCATGCTTGAATTACATGATGGTACAGATTTATTTCTATTTCGCAGCCCTAAATTGTTGTATTTATAGCACTACTCCATTGAGAAATTACCTTGCAAGGTGTTAAAAATGCTGAAAAGATACAAGAAAAATATCCTCACTTCTCCCCAGGCAAAAAAGGCAAAGCCCCAAGTTAAGCCCAAAAGGAACATCAAGCTGAAAGCACTTTTGAGGTCTTGAAGAACACTCTGTTTCCAGAATCTGGATCTCTTTTGTGTCCTTGTCTTCACAGAGTGGATTTGGAGGAGAACAGTGATGAACATGGCTGTATTTGTCAAAAATATTAAGAAGAAATAGGCCACAACAGAGATGTAGAACACTCCACTGTCCTGAATCCAGCAGCTGCAAGAAAGGGAGGTGTGGATTCAATATAAGGAGTTTGTGAGAGTGAAACTCAGGAAGCCTGGTTCCCCAAATAAGTATCCTGTGTGCTTCTCCAACACTCAGGGCATACCCTAATGCCCCTTATTTTCACCCAGTGAGGACATTCATGGAATCTCTCCGCTTGCCTTTTTTGGTGGATGTTATGGATATTCACTAACTTTGAGATGTTACTATTTCTGACAAATTCAGATAAACATGACAATTGTTTCACAGCTTAATGATGCATACACACACAGACACACTGCCTTAGGAAAACCAAGTTAAATATGACTTAATTAGGAGTCTAAATAATAGTATGCCACTGGTTAGCTTTTCCTTAGACATAAATTAGTGTCTTTTTGCTAACAATGGGTAACAATTTTCCCTCTGAGGTGTCACAGGGTTGTGTTGACTCTCTGATGGGATAGAATTCAAATATTCCAGGTAATCTTCACCAGCCAGTGATCAGATTGTGCTAAACAGAAAGCAGGTGAAAAAAATGGAAGCATTTTTGCTATAAAACCATTTTAAAAAAGGATGAAAGAATGCAGTGTTTTCCCACTGGAAAAGAGAGGAGGCTGAGATGATTTAAATAAAAGAATTTGAAATTATGATGAGACAGTGATGTGAATTGACATTAAAAAACAAACAAACAAACAAAAAACCCCAAAAACCCAAAACAAAACACAAAAAAACCAACAAAACAAAACAAAACAAATCCCATAAGCAAACATGCAAAATCCTTGAGCAATTATTGTACCTTCACATTTTACCAGAAACCCAGAACACAAAGGAGCATATACAAATGTCCCACCAGACTGAGCTAATGTCATGTAAAGAAAGATATTTCATGGAAAACAAACAGAGACTTGACTGGCAGAAGCCTTCCCTGTCCTCAAGCCCAGTTCACTGATGTGAGAGTTACTCCGTGCAGTAGCCACGCATCCAAAATGATTCAATGAACCAGAACCACTAAAAGGAGAGGGTAAAGATGGGGAGAAAAGACAAAAGCAACAGAGAAGTTGTTGCCTTCTGGTTATCTCTTGTATCTTTCAGATACTCTGGTGACCATCAAAAAGCTGAAAGCATTATACTTACAAATTGCTGTAAGGATTGTTCTCAGAGTGCGACCCATTGCCATAGAAGTCTTTGTTTATAATGAGCACAAGAATAATTACAATAGCTGGTATTCCTAACGTGGAAAGCAAGGGAGAAAGAAATATTTTGATTTAAAAGAAAAAAATTGGAGAATATGGAAAGATGTCAGATAATCTCTGATGAGTAATTACAGCAGACATATGCATCTTAGGATCAAACTCTACCCCAAAATCTCCTTCTGAAACAAGTGTAATTAAATATATGGCATAGCAGGTCGAATCTCCCTATTTATGTAAATCACAAATGAGTAGGCATAAAAATATCTGTGTTTGCAAAATGTTTGTGAGTGTTCAAACATCTCCAGAAGGGATCCAATCTGGCAAAATAAAACCAACTGATTATTACAAAAGCTGAGTGTCAAAAGATAAGCAAACCACAGCATTTTATGTTAAGAGCTTATAGAGGCAGACGTTTTCCAGGCAGTGTTTTATCAGTCTTCCCTTCCACTCATTTCCCATTTCCCACATTTTTTTCAGTCCTGTCTTTTCTGTGGAGAACAGCTGCTGCCAACAACACCATCATGGATGGCTGCCCCTGAGAACAGTTGTGTGCAACGTCAGATCTGAGGGTAGAGAAGACAATACACTGCACACTATTCAAGAGCCAACCTCCCCCCACTTTAAAACAGCATCTAATGGTGACCCAAATAATGCAGACCAAATTCTGCTCTAGGTCAGTGCCTCTGATAACACCGTTTTAACAGCTGAACCAGCCTATGGGCTCTTTTTGTTGTGTTTCTCCCAGACAAGCCTCTGATGCTTGTCCAGGGAAGTCCTCAGGAGAGCAATGAATGAAAGTCAAATCCCCCCTGTATGGGGGAATCATAAATAGAATGCCAGATATTCTGGACACAGGGCTTGGAGAAGGAACTAAAAACACCTTTGAGCATCCTCAGTGCAAAGGTGAAGGCTGTGGGGAGCTCATACTGTTGCAGGCACACACACTGATATAAGGTACTCTGATAAATCATTCCTGTAAGAACAGGAGGGGTAGGAGAGCAGTTCCTTACACTCATTTTCACCTTTTCATTTGACTGTGCAGGGAGCAAGAGGCACTTTATGCTAATGTTTCCCTGAGCAGAAGAAATTTAAGCTGAACCTACCTGGGGGGAGAGATCCACCCTTACAGCTCAGGTAATTTCTGCTAGCTCAGTGTCCTCACTTGCTTTTGCAAATATGCCCCAATCTTAGAGAAGTTGACAAGCCCAGAAGTGGAGAAGAAATCTGCTTGCTTACCCCAGCCAGCAATGCAGCATTTTAGGATGTACTTTGGGACATAAACATTGAAAACTTTGACAAGAGCCAAGTAAAAGTGAACAGACTCCAGGCACATCCACGTGAAAGCTGCAAGAAGGAAATAGTGAAGGAGCGTGGCCATGGTGATGCAGAGGCCTGGCTGGTTGAATGAGGACAGCCAGGAATTGGTGAGGAAGACCATGTTCAGCATCAGCAGTGCAGCACAAAGGTTGAGCAGGATTTTTGAAGGATTGTCTCTCCGCAGCTTCCTAAAAAGAAGGCGAAAGTGCACAAGGTTATCTCTGCATCATCCAATGTACAGCCATTCTATGGTGCTGTGAAATTTAGGAACATAGAAGTTGCTGAACAGTTCAGACTGGTGCTTGTATTAAAGCATTAGGCATTTGAATCCTTCTAATTTCACCAGAGGTCAAAATAAAGCAATTTTTATAATGTCAGCTCTCAATCTTCCCTGCTGTGCATTACAGGATCAAATATTGACAAACATTCTTATAGTTGCAGCAACTCCACTATTGCTAAAATATTAAAAGCCATGTGAGAAAAAGGATCAGACTTACTCAAGGGTTAGATATGTCACCAGCGTTATTCCCAAAAAAAGGGAAGAAGCACCACATCCTGCATAGCTTATCAGAGTTAATATATGATCATGTGTGACATCTATTTCTGTCCGGGCCAAGTCCTGTGTTACAAGATAAAGAATCACAGTTGTTTGGCACTACAGATTAAGAAAATTCCTTTACACATTTTTCACATTGAAAAGAAATCAATTCCTGTTCTGCTTACTGCTAATTTTGGAGGGTTTCCATTAACATTTTTATGCATTTCTTATTGTATAGTCCTACAGAATATCCAAACTAGTAAAAATATGCAGTATTTAAAGTATCCAGCAATACTAGTGAAGCTAGAAAAGCTGTCCTTCAGGAAACACAAATTTAATAAGGATTCCAGAATCTTGACAAAATTATTCCTCTGGAGCTCGCTTTGTAGGAGAAACTATTTTGTTTCAGTGGCAGCTGCCATGCTTGGGAACTGCACAAATCTGCTAAATGTCTTGGAGTGTGGGAGGATCCTCCCTGTCCAGAAAGCATCCCTCTGCAAAATCAGCTAGGAGACTGTGCTCTGCTTCTCCACAGCTGCTGAAGGAATATTGAGAGGATTTTGTTGTTCCCTGACACAGTTTCTCTTCTATTTGGTGAAGCTTTGAACCTCAGACCAGTAACCCACATCTCTGATGTTGAATACTTGTAGCTGTGCTGATTACTAAAGTGGCAGTGAGAGGTATGATCTTAAAATCAAACTGAATTCTCTTCATTTGAATGGGAACTTGAGCAAGTGTCCGAAATCTGAACCATCTCAATTCCTTCCTGTAATGTCACATATTTGCTCCCGGAGAGGGCTTTTGCCTCTGCCAGGGCAGGGTGATGCTGACCTCTAGGGGAAGCATCCCAAAGCAAAGGTGGGGCCATACCCGATCCTGTGGGCTGTATCCTGCTGGGATTAGACAGATTTAATCTGCTCAATTTGCTTAGAACTTGCCTATCACTTTGCCTTTGTTGCAGCCCATTCTCAGGCAGTCATATCAGCTTTTGACATTTTACTTTTAGAGGCAGTTTTCTCTGTATTACAGATAAATAAGAGGTGATACATAATGACATCTCCCACATCAGTTTCTGATGGAGCATAGATAAAACATTCCAAAAGATGTAATGTCATTAGTTGCCACTGGCAGGTAATAAATTCAACACAGTATTTCCAACGCAGTAAATAAAACATTAAGGTTGATTAAGTTACACTGCAAAGAAGTACAAACTACATCTGTAAAATGAAATTGCCTTGAAGCAGGTGACATTTAGAGGACTTTATATCATTAAATTATTATAACTGTTTTATTTGTTATTACTGATTTTGGCAAAATTGCAGATATCTAACAGCTTGCATAGATATGAATCTCCCATCTCTCCCCAAATCTAAAGATGACTTTGTTTAGTGCCACGGGACTTTTTGGGAGATGATTCACAGAGTACTTACCAGTAGGACTCCAAAATGGGTAAGATGGTTACAAAAACAGATTGTGTAATTCATATCTGTATATTCCATTTCACACCCTGATGTATTCCAACCACCCAGTCCATCTGTGTAATAGAGAAAAAGGGATTTTTAAGTAGAGTTAGTCATGCTCAGTCATTTATAGCTCTGCAGCATGCAGGGTTTGTGAAGAAGAGCTCAAGTTAGTACAGATTGCAGGGTCATTTAGCAGCACACAAGTGAGATTTCACACAGGAACACATCTTCTGTAGTTGCCTGAGAACTTCAAAATTTGGGTGAAAGCCTTTGGTGGCATGAAGAAATATTTAAAGTCATTTACATGTCTGCACACATAGAAAGCATAGAACCTAGTGCTGGGTGAGCTTGTGCTGCAGGATATGGAAACACAAAAAGAAAGATGTATGTACAGGGCAGAGGATTTGTGTAGGCAGAGTTTAGCACTGAAAAAGCCAGATCTTCTCTGATAAGATTGAATTTAGAAGTGGTGCCTTATGGCTGTGCTATACCTTTATCCATCTTTTTCTCCTTTTTCAAATATGTAGCAGCCAACATACCAAACTAAAACTAATCTTCTATTGCAACTCATGAAGAGCTAACATTTTGCAGGATTTTTAGGAGTTATTTGAGCCGATTAATGTGTTGATATTCATCATGTGTTTGTGTCCACTTATCCTTTGCCTATTTTAGGCTTGAAAGCAATAATAAAAGAGTGAAACATAAGATTATTTATGGGGAATATATGACATATTCAGAAGCTAAGCTTCTGATTTTAAAAAATATATATTTTTGAACCCTAATAATTGCAGAACAAGCCTTCCCACATGCTCTGAGTTAACCCAATACACAGTTATCTCTCTGTGTCTGTTGAGTGCATGAGCCACATTCAAGGCCTGACCCCAGCGAAGCCCCCACGGACCTCCCTGAAGAAACTGTGAGAATTCATCAGACATTTCATATAATTTCTGCTTTTTTCTTAGTCTAAGTCTTCTTACTGATATAGTTGCAGCACTGTACTATGCCATACATGTATCCTTAGTGCTAACACTGATTACTGAGGTACCAACATCAAGCCAAAGCAGCAATGCCGACTCAACAGGACAGCCTCAAGTCTCAAAGGTGCCACATCAAGGAGCCAAAGGCTGCTGGGGACAGAGCAAGTGTGGCAGCTTGGGAAATAACACTTACTGTTCTTCCCAAAGTCCCAAAAGACGCAGTGCACTGCTGCATTGCCCTGGAAGCAGAGAAAAGGAGGCTGTGACATTTATTCAGTACATCTGTACGCCGCCTGCACTTGCAGACGGTGCATCTTGCTCTGACTGGGGTGTATAACTGGGGTGTATAACCCTAAGGCTGTTGGGTTTGATTTCCCCTGCACTGCTCTCTGATTTTTTGCATGGTGGTGCTGCAGTGGGTCTGTGGGTCAGGGGCTGCTGGACACTGGGGCTTGTAGAGCCAGCTGGGATATTGTCCATCTCATCCATGGCACTGAACAAGCACAGTCCTGATTTTTGCCTCTCCCTTTACCAAGGGAAATCCTGGAAGTCAGTGATTTTCCCAGTTTTACCTGTATCTTTCAGTACCTTGTAGTCTTTTAAGGACAGCAGAAAATCTGACATATTGTCCAGCATAGACCAATTCCTGTGTTTAATCTCATTGGCTTCATGTGGTGTCTGAGATGTCACACCAAATTACTGGTGAAATTTAAAAGTTATGACTAAGACCTGGAATAACAACCTGAGATTTTACACAATTAAAAAAAACCCAACAAAACAAAACCAAAAAAACCCCCAACAACAACAAAACCCAAAAGAAACCTTTATTTTAGGTTTTCAGTGATTCCTCTCTCTGAAACCAGACAGGGAAGACATGTAAGAGCTGAACAGATGTAAATGGATATTCAATGTAATGTTTTCTCTTGGGGACATTCTAGTTTATTACTCATAATGCTGCAGCAAACTTTCCCAAGGCACAGATTCATTTACTTTTATTATTATTATATCATTAATAAAGTTTAATAAAGCAGAGAGTTTACAGGAAGCCAGCCTAACAGATAAGCTGTTAAGATGTGTGATCTGTAGACTGTCAAATATAATTAGGCAGAGAGCCAAAGATGTAGGTTTGGATGATAACTCATTAAATATTTAATTAAGATAATTTTAAAAGGTCGAGGGAAAAAATCTGAGAGATGCCAGATGGCCTGGTGGAGTAAAAATGACAGAAGAGAGGGGATATCTAGATAAAATTTCTGGGTATATATTTGCTAGAAATGAATGGAAAGAGCATATCTCCATAAAAGCAGCATTTCCAAGCTCTCATTGACTTGAACTTTAATTAAATTCATCTTATTGAATAATTTTGTTCTGCTCTGGGTTTGTAATATATTCATGTGGAGGCTGGACCTGAAACACTGATAACCCAGAAATGCTAAGGTGAAACTCAGTCAACAAGTTTGACCTGTGCTCATTTAGAATAAAATAGACCTCAGCTTTGAAACATCATTTTGAAACAAAACAAAGCATATTAATCTTGAAAACATCTTTGCAATGTCTTGGGTTTTTCTGAAGTTTACTTTTTTTGGTGACTAAACCAATTTGCTGAATTCAGAGCAAAGATAAATCATTTCAGTCCAATCCAAAACCTGCTGTTTTTTAGCAAATAAGCTACTCCTTGGAAAAAAATTGTCCAGATCATAACAAGGAAACAATGAAAAGGTCTTGTGCTCTAAGCATGGCTTTAGAGCAGAGACACAAATTTTAGTAACCTGCAGGAATTTATAAACACCAAAATCTGTGTGGTCTGTCAACATTTGGGTTTTGATGTAACATGGAGAGGTCAGGCAGTAAAACGTTTCAAGCTTATTTTTCCTGTTCCCAGTTTACAGTAAGGGTGAGTGAAATCAGTTCTGCTTCACCTCATCCCTGAGGAAAGGAACACATCCTACCGTATTCTGGTCTATGTGCCGAAGAGTGACAGTCACAGGCTCATTAAGGTTCTGAATTGATGCGTTTTCAACACTGGCACTCACAACAAAAGTGTTCAACTTCTGCATTGTTAAACTGTCATCCTGCAGTGGAAAAACACATGCATGCAAAAAGAATCCAAGCTCTGCCTGCTCCCATTTTTTTTTCAATTGTACTTCTTGGAAATGGTGATCAGCTAAACCCCATGGGATGTTTGATGTAAAGTTGCTACTTCATTAGAAAATGTAGTTAGCTGCAATTCCAGGACAGTCTCCACATCAGCTGAAGCAGAACTGAGTCTCAGATGCATCAGCTGGATTGAGAAAGCTGTATAATTGTTTCAGTACATTTAAACATCCAGTTGTACATCATTAAACTCATTAGACAGTAGGCACGACTGTGAATGTTTCTTCTGTGTGAAAAGTATTGCTCAGCACTCTGTATGCACCATCATTCCAAAGAAATGCCTCCTTTTTAAGTTATACCCACCCCTTCTGGAGTTATGAAAATATAATAACTACTAGAATAATCCTAAATGCTGCACATCAGTGCTGCTATTATTTTAATGGAGACATAAATCTTGAAGTTATTTTCATGATGTTTGGTATATCCTATGCACAGTCCTTAAGAAAGAGCCTACTATCAGAGGAAGGTCAGGGTATGTTCTTTTCCTGCATAACAGAAGGATTAGAATAACATCAGCTACAGAAAATGAATGGAAAGGCTAAGGTTTACAGACACCTCTCAGAGCATCCTTGCTACAGAGAAGGTTTTGCTGCGTGAGCACATTTTCCCTGCACTTTCTCTCTCAGGCTGATGCTAACTGTGCCTGGAACAGACGACACTGATGGGATTTCTTTTGTAGGCACTGGGAACAGCTGAGCCCATTCCTGCTGTGTTTGGGTTTGCTGGGAGTCGTAGTTACCTCGAAAAGTGAAGTAGTGCCAAAAAACTTAAACTGGATCTTCGAATGCTTGTCTGGGTCACAGTACTCGATCCCTAGGAAGTTCTTCAGGGATTTTGGCAAAAACACTGAGGCCAAGGCATTTTTGAAAGGGTTTTCTTGCACATTGATCTGCAGGAGAGAGATGACATGCTCAGAACTGCTGTCCTCAGGTCAAACGCACAACGGGACAGAAGAGTAGGAGGGTTGTCTGGTTTAGTCCATGATTCTGAGTGATACTTTGCTCTCACCTGGAGATCCACACCTCTGCTGTAGGAGGTAATGCCAAAGGCCAGTCCTCCAAACGTGCTGGGATCTGGACGCAACACCAACAGAGCCAAGGAATTGGTTATGACCGATGTATTTCTGTCTGCGCAAGTCACCTTGTAGCCCATCTCCTCAGTTGTCTGCAGGATACTTCAACAAAAGAAACAGGGAGGAAAAAAACACTTCTCTTGAAATGTTCTCCTGGCTTCATAACACACATCCAGGGAACAATCGGCTAAAACCCTCTGCTGTGATTTATGATCACAAGGAGCAAGCCCTAGAGCAGAACAGGTCTGTTTTGGGGTAGATGCATTTTGTCTCCACAGGGTCAGGTGACAGCAAGCACTTGAGTTAGCATGTTTCAGTGGCCTGAAAGTCTGGCAGGTGGAAGATAACCTCCTGCAGGGACCACACAAGGTGGTTCTGGGAAGACCTGAGTCAAAATTCACGCCCAGTCAAACACTGCATTTCATCTGGAAGGCAGTGACTTGTAAAATCTGCTAATTTGACTATTTTCAGTCATCTAATTGTACCCTCAGGTAAAATATCACAGCCGAGATAAGTTAATCTGCAAGGAACCTTTCGAAGTCTGTACTCCAAATCCCCACCACTCCAAGCTCTAAAGGTAGGGCTGCTGCTCAGGGGCTCATCCAGTAAAACTCTAATTATCTCTGAGGACAGACATTTCTGGGCCTTATTATCAGTGAGGTTTTTTCTAAGTAGACAGAATAGGCTGGAATGTAAAGGAAGCAGCAAATTAGGGTTGTTTAATACTCATGGGTATTAAGAGTCAGGGACAGCTCCACAGCTTGTTTGGCTCCCTTAAGGCTATTCAGTAATATGCAAGGAGGGATAAAACTCTACTGAAAATGTGAAAGACAGTTGTTCCCAGAACAGACTGAAGGAAAATCTTCCTGTCCTTTGGTCTGGCATTACCTTCATGCATCATCAGCCCCAGATGCACCAGGACCCTTTCAGCCACAGCTGCCCTAGAGCTGCAAAGCCTGGAGTTCAGCTTCTCCAAAATACCAACTCTATCTCCATTAAGGATCAAGAATAACATCCTTGTCCCTAAAACCTTACATTTCATGGGAGGAGAATTCAAAGCAATGGATATTTCCCTTAAAAGCCCCGCAGCCTATTTGAGAAGGCAGAGGTGGTGCGTGCTGGCAGCTATCACAGCCCCCACTCCACACACTGCAGTGTGACAGGCTTGGAAGAGAGAGCACACAGCCCAAACGATCACGAAGCTACCCAGTGCTTTCTCTCTGACAGATTTTCTAGGCTGTTTTTGGTTACTCCTCCTTGCAGACTCCTGAGTTTGGAAAAGCAATGCCGAGTTGTCCACTGAAAACAACTGGGCTGTGGCATAGTCATGCTCCACCCAGAACTTCTAATTTATCATTGCATAGCTGTGTTTGAAAACTCTTTATCAGTACAGGTAGAGGGGTGACAGAGATTTGTGTCTCCAGACTGACCTGTCAACAGACCTCACTGCTGAGCCACAAAGATCATCTGTGAGAGCAGGTGGCAGCTGGGCAGTCCCTGAGCTGCCTCCAGGTTTGGATGCCCACAGGGAACAACACTGTGATGGTGGCTTCTGCAGAACTGTTTCTGGTAAAAGCACCTTTGACAACACAATAATCAATTCTGCTGCTAATAACCACAAGCATGTTTAAGATCCAAGTACAGAAATTTCTAAATCTCATGGTGATATTTTAATAGAGTGAATGAAATAGTCCATGGTGCCATTTCAAATTAGGAAGCCTCTTCTGGGCAAGTTATCTTACTTACGTATTGGTTATTTTTCTAACGTTCTGATCTTCTATTTCTTGCAGTGAAATATGGTCTAGTATAGACAATGCAGTCTCTGCAAGTGTCACACTCACATCTGCAAGCTGTACAATATCAGAAATTTTACTTGCAATGATTTCTAATTCTTCCACATGCAGTGTTGCATCTGGCAAGAGGTATAAAATGTGCTCTATAACATCTTCTGCATTCTCTGAAAAACAAGGAAGCAGAGATGATTTATGTGGCATAGCTGTCACTCTGGCTATACAGCTACATGTGTCTATGTTAAATGCAGGAGTTAATCTCCTTCTCCTCTCTTTCCATATAGTCATAATGCTCCTGATCTACTACAAAATTATGTCCTAAGAATAAGTCAATAAGCCCTCAATATGTCAATGAAACAAATGTTGTCACTTGCTTTTGGATTTATAAATACTATCTGTAAATAATATTTACCTTTAGCTTTTGCCATGTTTACAAGCATTTGTGAGTTTCAAATTAGACAAGATCCTCCCCTCTCCCCAAATGCTGCTTACCTGGTACTGTAGCAAAAGCAAATTCTGAATGGTATCATTTGAAAAAATGTATTTGCCATTCATCATCTCATCACCCTTCTGTAATTTTTTTACAGAAGCAGAGTTTTACACCCTGGGAGTCAGAGAGACTGTGTGCAACTGCAGATATCTTTCAATGATCTACTATTTGATGCACTGCTGAGGAGGTGGATACCCTGATATGGTATCGGGTTTGTTCACCATTCAAACAGCTTACACTGTTTGGCATAGCTTAAAAAAGATATAACCATGTGGTAAATGTCACCTTATCACCTACGTGAACTACAGCACCAGCTTTTCAATTCCAGACACTGATTTGTGCTTCAGATATTACGAACTACTTTGATGTGGCAACAGAGAGGGTATGGACAGACAAAACCTGCAACATTATTCATTGGTTATTTTCTTAGTTCTAAATCAAAGTGTAGGATTTGAGACAAATCTTCAAAGTGATAGCTAGGAAATTTTGAAGCACTTGCAAAATTAATTAGCATTAAAATGTCCTTAAGATGACCAGGTGAGCAGGATGCACATAAAGCAATCTTATCACTTCCCTTGTTCAGATGTCCAACATAAGCATTATCTGAGTAAAACTATTTTACTGTGACTCACTGTGTCACTGAAGTATCTGGTACCTTACCTTCTGTTATCTTGATATCTTGGAGGCCTAAAATATTATTTGGAAGTTTTTCAAGTGGTTTACATTTAGTCATGTTTGGTTCCTTCCAAAAAGCTTGCTCTAGTTCAATACTAATTGCACTGAAAAATTAAAACAATGTACAATGTTACAGGAAAAAATACATAATAATGATGTTCCTCATATTTCCCACTCAGGTAACTAAGAACGTAATTCATTAGCCCAACTTTAAATGGACTTGCAAGTCAGATCTGACTTAGCACTTGTTCAGCAGAGTGGGAGCAGAGCCCAGATGCCAGAGCCTTTGAAATGCACCTAGAGGTATTGGAGGGGAGGGAGCCATGAAGGGATGGCACGAAATGCTACAGTGCTTGTGTTTCCCCTCCCTGCCCAAGCAGAAAGTCCTGAGGTCACTGCAGGTGATGGGAATGATGCCACACTCCCTTTTCCTGCAGCTTGTGCTGGACCAGCCCTGTATCCTTTGCACCCTCCTTGGCATGGCACTGCTGCCATGACAGAATACCACCTGGTTTACCATGACAAAGCCTGGTGATCCCTCCTGTTTTCCATGGAGGAACCAAAACAAGATGATCTCATCACTCACCAGCTCCTCTGAGCAGACTGCAGAGGGTTTTTCCTGCAGCTGACCTGTGCTTCGGAGGCTGGACTTGTTAGCGGCCAGGAATAACTCCCCTTGTACCTTGTGTGTGAAAAGCTTTCTGGACAATCCATCAGTGCTGAGGAGGAAATACATAAAAGCTCTTTAAAAAGATTTAATAGTCAAAAAGAAGTTCCCTCTGACACACAGGAACCCAACTGTTCTGTGGACCTTGTTTCCTGATGGGAATGAGCTGTAATTTGCAGACTTCATAGGAGTATTTTACAAGTTTACTATCTGCAAGAAAGCATTTTGTTTAGATTTGTTTAGATATTTTGTCTCTTCTTCTACACTCTTTTTCTCTTTTGTTTGACAAGGTCAGTTCTCAGGTACAGTGTTAGTTTCCAGCATCACAAACCATATTCAATGACAGCACATCCTGCAGGCTTCTCTACTCTATCTGAAGGTGCTTTCACACTGCCCCTCATTATCCCATCAATGTCTTTCCTCCAGGCTTGTAGTGTTATCCTCTGCAACTGGTATTTTGTAAGTCATTGGTATAAAATCTTTTAAATTTCAGGTATGGTCTGTTAGCTCTTACCTCTGTCTTACTTCTCTATTTTAAGGAGCAGCAGAGATTGTAATCAAACCAAGAAAGTACTTGTTTACCTCCTGAGGTTTGATCCAATATGCACAGACATTACACAAATGGCAGTGAGTTTGGTTTGAGTGTTTGACTTTGGTGTCCCTGGAGCACTGGCTACCAGCAGGGGCTCCTGGATTTATACCTGAATCAGCCTGACCTTGCCTTCATTGCAGAGGTGCTCAGACCTGCCTTGGCATCAGGATTCAAGTTTTAACTTACTTCCATTTGTCTGGAACCCAAGTTTTTTATCTTGCTGTCACCGCATGATGTTCTACAGCTTGTGCATCAGGTGAGGTCAGTCTGGCTACTTCTTAAGGGTGTTTTCTAGCCAATGTCTCCACAAAATTTAAATTTGATAAAACACTTGTAGCCAGAATTACAAAGCATGTGATTTCCAGTGAGGTTTTAGTGAAGTAATACCTATTGACTTCACAGCCACATCTTCAGGTTTCACATGCAAGGATAATGGTCCCTCTTCATATGTGTCATTCAACAGCTGTTTGATCCTGAGACTCAGCACTTCTTGTATTTCCAGAGAGGTGGCCTTTATAATTGCCTTACAGATATAGCTACAAATAGAACATACAAACAAGGCTGCCATATTAGTAACATTTCACAATGTTTAAAGTTTGGAGTAAGCCAATCATAAAACGCTGTGTCCATCAGAGGTAGAAAGACTCCATGCCTTCCTGGAAAACTATCTAACTAACCACTTCCAGTATCTCTGGTGGATTCCATCTTTTCCTCCTCAGAACAGCTATTGTGCTAAGTGACTGGGCTGACTCTAGAAGGTTTGGAAAGACAATGCCTCTCACTGAGTGGCTTCAGACACGGCAGAAAGCTCCAAGAAGCCATGAGTGGATCACCTCAATGGACCTCTAACTGAGGGCTAACAAGTGAGATTTCCTTAGGGCTGGGATGTTTCATGTGTTTCCAATTCACTCCTGTCTCCACACAGCTGTCCCTCACTCCTCAAGGCTTTTCTAAACTATTTGCAACCCCTTGAAGGTGATGGGAACCCAGCTCCCCCTCCTCCTGGCCTGGGGTCAGAAGGCAATCTGGATTTCCTACAGAAGAGGTGCAGGATTCATCCTGGTATCCCTTTGGGGCACTGTCCACTTACTGGCCCCAGTGAAGGACACTGCTCACAGCCAGCTCTTACAGTGCAGCACAAACCTCACAGCTTGCCATGGAAGCACTTTGAGTCTCCCAAGACTCAGGGTATGAGATGGGAACCTTGGATGCTCAAATGCATTTCCCCAAGTCAAGCATTACTCCATGTGTGCTTTTCTGGTCACTCTGAAGCTCAAACAGCCATGGAGGGGTATAACTCCTCCTCACCCTAAATATGAAATCAACACGAACTATGGAAATCCAGTTCAAAACCCTGGGTCTTACCTTTGTGACATCCGCTTTACCTTCCCCTTCAGGTCACATAGAGGGACACAGAAAGTTAGAAGCTGGTTAGAATCAATGGGCACAAATTGGATCTTAAGGAAAGTAATCAGCACAAACTCAATGTTCTCATTAAAATGGAGCCTGTTGCTTTAAGTGTTACTGGAACCTGACTCCATAGAGCAGCCTTTGTTTCACAGTACTGCTAGAGGTCCATCAGGATGATTTAGTAATTTCAACAAAACACAATACTGTCAGCATTTAGACCCTGCAACTACTATATCCTCTATGCAGAGGATAAGAAAAAGTAATTACTTAAATCAGAAAATAACAAATTACATACACGAGTCCTCCTATAGGCACTGCTTTGTAGATAATTACCCCTGCAAGAAAAAGAGAATAGAAAATATTTCACAGTAGCATATAAATATAAATATAACACCCCCTCTTCTGCCATCATCTAAAATAGCTTCTGACCACAATGAGCCAGACTTTGCAGCAGAGAAGTCATCTTGAATTCAGCATGGATATATTTACAGAAATCACCAAGACCAAGTATAACAGAGATGCATCCTGACAAAAACCTCTTCTTCCAGAATGGGACCCGCCCTTCCCTTAGGGCTTTTCGAATTAGATTCACCCCGTGTGAACAGTGCAATGGGTTAGTGTATTGTCATTTGTAAAGCAAACAGTAACTGTGGAAGTCAGAGAAGAAAGTAGGAAGTCAAAATAGGCATAAAAGACGAAACTCCATGTCTGTACAAGTGACACTTCTACAACTCACTAAAACACCCTCTCAGCTGCTCACAGTTTGGATATGAATAAGCTAGATTGGGCTAAAAGTTATGAAATAGGGGAGTCTGGTGCAAGGAACCATTGTTTTTGAGCAGGATTTGGGAACTATAATATGCTATTGTTAGACACAGCCATGCAAGAGCCAGCATGAACCTAGATAGCCCTCTGGGGTCTGTGACCCTCCCTCTGTGGCTGGATGTGACCCTCAAACTCCTTTGCACTCACATGTAATCACTGAAACGAGGCTTCAGCAACACTAATATGAGTGAACCCTGCAGGTACCAGCACTTTGCCCTACTTTCCATCTCCTGAAGGTACCAATTTCTCTGCTTTTTGGATAGCCAGGATGGTATACCAGCTACATCAGCCCACTGGAGTCACCACTCACACTCTGCAGAGGCAGCAAAGGTTTCATCTTGGTCGTGAATCAATACAAATCAGCAAAGATGAGGTCTCAGATTGGAGCAGCTACTTGCCTTGCACTGGGTAGGATACATATTTTAGGTGAATGAGTCCAGTGAGCAAGATGTGGGTGTTCAACATGCTGGAAGTTGTGCAGACCTGGGGGTTTAGTTTCCACCCTTGTCATGGGCTGGTCAGTTGTGAAATGGGTATTTGGAATCTGGCTGCTAAAAGGACAGAGGGTCAAGGTGACACCACTACCTTACCTGATTTTAAAGTTTGTCACAACAAATTCTTCTCTGGTAAAGATTATACTAAACTGGGAAAAAAAAAATAACATTTTTATTAACTTGATTTATCAATACTTTTTCTAGAGCTGTTTGTAAATTTAGAATTGTCATCAAAATTCTAAATCCTGATGAAAATAGCTAAGAATTTTTGCAAAGTTTTAACACTTTTCCCTTCCTTCAGAATTTCTTTTTGTCCTGTTAAAAATGTTTTGGATAACATGATTCTGAAACGCCAGAATATTGTTACATTTCTGTGTTGTCCCAACAGTTTGCATTCTGTACACTGGGGATTGGACTAGATGACCTTTAGAGGTCCCTTCCAACACAAACTATTCCATGATTCTACCAGCTCTCCTCCTCATTTGATACTTGCTAGAAACACATGAAAATGAGAAGAACAAGCTACTCACCCAGTGTTCAAGAAGCCTCCTTGCATCATAGTAATCAGGAGCTCTCTTGGTTTCGTAGAAAAGAGAAAAGTTCATATGAACATTAAAGAAGGTGACTGCAAGGAGAGAACACAGGTGAAATGAATCCTGTATTTTTCACAGCAGGTACCTGCCCCCCTTCCCATGTCCATACCCCTCTGCAGAAGCACAGTTGTTTTCCCATTCCCATGCTGACCAAAGCCCTTTGGGATATCCCAGACTGCAAGTGTCCAAGTTTAGATTGCTGCTGCATTGCTAGAAATTTTATTGAAGAGCTCAAGGGCCCAAACACATGGTCATGTTATCACAGCTTAACAACTGAGTTGTGGTTCATATCTGAGTGTGCACAATTTTGGCTTTTACTGTCTGCTGAGAGTGCACAGGAGAAACAGGAGGATCTTCTGACATGGGACACCTTGCTAAGCAGCAATGGCTTAAACATGTGTCACACCTACAGTGTCAGTCAGTGTCAGTGATGACCACAACAGCATTTAAAATGTTGAGCACTTACCCGGAACGACACCATTGGTACTACTGGTCAGAGGTAAAGGGGGCAGTGTAGGAGCCCTTGTTGATGATGCTTTCCTCAAGCCTGATGGAAAGAACAATAAAAGGCCTAAGAATTCACATTGGCAAAAGTGTGAGGAAGAGAATGGTCTAGGTGAGAGAGAGGTTTGAGTCCTTCAGAGAAGGTCATCATAACAAGGAGCTGCTGTGGTTCCACAGATCTCTGCAGGATGAAGGCAAAAGGGAAAATACACCAATATGGGTTTTTATTTATTTCTCCAGAGGTAACTGCAGCATAACAAGGGAGAAAACAGCATTTGCAGGGTTTAGATCCCAGGGAAGACAGGAGACTATGCACCCTTATCTTTTTTCATTTCTTATGTTGAAGGGCAGTTTTCTGTGTTCCCTTCTTGCCTGTGCAAGCTGTGCCAGCCTTCAGAGAAAGGCACTGGTCAGACACTGAGTGCTAACGGGTTTATAGGCAGTAATGGCTGTGAGAGGAACACTGATAGTCATGGTCTCTGGGTAAATGATAACCTGACATAATGATTCCCATTTGTTTTCAAAGTAAAGAATTCCAAGAATTCATTCATAGCTAATTTTCCTTGAAGTGAATCACCTTGTCAAGCCAGATATGACTTTTCATTTCATATGCAATCTGCCACATCACCAGGCAGACAGGGACAAAACAGGTGATGTTTGTCACACGTACTACAGAAAATTGCAGTGAACTGAATCACTGTGTAACATTACAGGCCTTGGTGCTGAAAGAAAAGCAGGATCACAACATTTTGCCCTAGAAGTACCATTTTCTTACAAGGCTTGTAATTTGTGTTTTTTACTTCACTCAAATGACTGTCAGAGACTTGACATTCTAGCTCTGACTAAGAGAAATAAACTTAACATATGAATACAAAGCCAAATGCCTATGAATAAAGAGTGTGGTCAGAAATAAGCAGGATAAGACCATGCTTCATAAAACATTGGTTTTCTCTACAGTAGTTCAAGGTAAGGAGACTCACCCATGCTTGAAATACAACAGCCCATCTCTGACTCACTCAAATCAGTGGCAATATATCCAGGGACAATAATAGAAACAGGGGCTGTTAACAACTTGAAGTCTCCTATTTCTATCCTAAATGACTTCAAATTATCTTATGAAGTTCAAGGGACATCCAAAGTCAAAAGCCCCTTCTGAGCAGGCACTCTACAGTACACAGGCTTCTGCTTCCTGGACACACAATTGATTTTCCCCTTTGCACTAAGCCACAGGCTGTGAACTCAGCACAGAGCCAAGCTGGAGCAAGGGGACAATAAAGTAACTGAAGTCCAGCTCTGAGTTGTCTCTCCAAGGTTGGCTCTTGCAGACTAAGCTCAGACCCTTCAGTCTTCAGCTCAGACCTTCAGCCTCCAAATGCTCCTCTGAGGTGCCAGTCTGTGTTTTGGTGTCACCTTATGATCTAGGAGATGGTGGTTTCAGCCGCTGTGGTTTCCTCAGCAGAGGTAACGTGCTCAGGGCTGGTGGAGAGCTGAGACAGGAGGCTCCCCCACACCTGGAGGCAGAAGGATGGGGAGCAGGAATCATGCACCAGCTGTTCCAAGATCAAACTGTCCAGCAATCTGCTTTGGGAGAGCACAGCCCCCGTTGCTGCCAGGGTGTGCAGAAAGCTGTAAAAATAGCAAGCCTGCTTTTCCCATGCTTGCTGAATCTTCGGTGTGCATTTGGACATCTCTCCTCTTTGCTCAGGCCTTGTGCATATGAGATAGTTGTAAACTTTGGAAATTAGAGACCTAATCTACTTTGTTTTACTCTTCCATCAAAACACTAGCAAGTCCAAGAGCAAGCTACCACATTGCCATTTCAAATCCATTGCCTGCAGTAGGTCAGAAACATAACTTGACATAATGGGCATTTGCTGATTCTTTATTTGGAAAAAGATCCTCAGGCTTAGCTCACTGAGCTGCAAGACAGACCTTGATGTTCCATGCACAGAGCTCTTACCAACACTAACACTGTCTGACAGTCAAGAAGCCAGAAGCATCTACTGAATTAAAAGTCCTAGAGAAAAAGGAAACCAACTCCTCAAAAGAAAATAGAGGAACCTGGAACTAAGGGGATGTACCTTTTCCTCCAGCACCTGTGCACAAGCCCTCACCATCCTCACATCATATTACCATGAGAATACCCAGAGAGCAAAACTCAGAGGACCTGGCCCTCAGTGTTGCAGAGATGCAGATATTCCAGCATCCCCAGGGACTTTAATTCCACAGCTTAAATTTCCAATGGAAACCTGTATGCCTCCCTGTGGTGTGAAGCTGCAGAGACAGTTCTGTGAGCCCCAGTGAGATGCTACAAATAGTAAGTGCCTGTTTTCAAACTGACAGAAAATGAGTGTCATTTTACAAGCTTTTTTGAAGAACCACTGCCACAGAGGAAGTGTGATGAGAGCACAGAAGGGCCAATGCTGTGCAGACATGATCTATCAGTGGAATAAATATTTCTTTCCTACAGAACTATTAGCACTATGTTAGGCTGTGATTTATCAAGCCATATCCCAAACTGTTTGAACATCTGGGGTTTAACTTGTCCCCCTGACTGTTCCACTGCTGCAGACCCTCTCCTAGGTAGGAGGAAACTGCACAGAGCTGTGTGATTACAGACTTCTGTTCCTGTTGTTATCAGTGTAATATTTCAAAAACCATTGCCTTAGGGGTGATGTATGATAGCACTCAGAGTCAGGCAGGATGAATCAGAAAAATTTGCTAGTGGAAAAAAAAAAAAACAACAGAAAAAGGGCCAAACAAAGCCCCAAACCCATTCTGATCAGGGATGTAACTCAGAATGCTGTTTCCATCTCCTGACAAATGAAGCATAATTACAACTTCACAGATTATAATTTATTTATTTCTCCTTCTCATTATCACCTGAAGAAAAATGAAATCTGTTTATTCTCACATGTCAGGGATCATTACCAGCAGGCAGGTGTGGGACTGGCCACCTGCATCCTGTAGCTGCATTTGCTTTAATTAATATGTACGTAATTCCATTCACGAAATGAGGGCTAAGGCATGATGACAGATGAGATCTGAAGCTACAAAAATACCGTGCCACTGATTTTTTTTAAGTCCTAGTCAAGGATTTTAATTTGATAATTTAATAAATGGTTTATTTGGCATTCTGTAAATAAATATATATTGTTTCCAATAGACAAGCAGCAAAAAATAGACTAGCCAATATGAGAACTGCAATAAATATATTTCTGTATTATTGGCAGTCATTTTCAGATTTTGAATATTCAGCCCTTTCCAGGATTATTTAAAATTAAGAAGAAAATCAGAAAGCAGTGTGTGGGTGAGGTAGGGGGAGGAAGAGATGAAGACTGAGTCAGTGAGAGGATGAGAACACACACTTTTACTTCTACACTTTTAGCAAAGACCCAGCTGAGCTGGAAAAACAAAGGATTATCTTTAAGATCCCTGGGAAAAAAGCAAAGGCAGAACAATAACTTCTACTATCAAGCAAAGCCAGTGCAATTGCTACAATAATTATAGCACTTACAAAAGCCAACACACCTTCTTAAGGCTTCCTCTGGCTATGTTCATGTGAGAAGTTTCACTCACTTTGCCTAAATGAGCCCTGGCTTTCCAAAGATGATGTAGGATTTCCAAAACAAAGCAGGCTGCCCAGCTTCACATCACAACTGCATAACCAAGCAATACAACATCAAACATCCATAAACAACACATATAAACACAAGAGGCAAGCCTTGATGCTAAAGAATGATATTGGGCATAAGTAACAATCTAAGACATTACATTGGTGTTGACATGGCACTTCCCCACGACATTTCATTACACGGCAACATTACACAACTACTTCTTACATGGATGCTTCAGATTGTCTCGTGTAGATTCAATATGTATGATCCCATATGGACAATCCACATGAACTACAGCCAGGTGCAGCTTCCCCTGTCTGACAGATGGGACATCAATCTCAATACGTGTTTACACTGCTCACTGTTATCCCTACCTCGTGTATCATCAGCACGCCTCTGTGCTACAGCTTGCTCATGAATTCCAGTTAATTAAAGTAAGGAGCAGATTTATAGTGGAAGCAAAGGTCTTGCCAAGATCTGACACACAATGGATTCTCAAACATGATTAAATTTTAATAACATCCCTGTTACTTCACAAGAGTTATCTTGATTATTGTTCTTAGCAAGATGTCAGACTGCAGTAACGCTCCTCCCAGTGTGGATCACAGAGTGGATCCAGCAGTTCATGGCACAATAGGCAAAAGTAGCCTCTGTGCTTGTTGGTGTAGTCCATCACTTGTGAGACATGCTGTTGTCTCTCTTTGCTGACAACCTTTAAATATTTGCCCAACATTTTCCAGACTGAATGTCCTATTCAGGCTGCACTGGAGAATCCTAACTAGAGAAAATCACCTGGTTCTTGAGGACTGCTTTAGAGGGAAAGAGTGCTTTAACTATTGAGAGCCTCTCTCTAACATGCTTTGTCCCACTAAAAAGATGCTCAAATTCATCCAGGTTATTTTTCTTGAAAAATCAAAGCCCAGGAACACTGAATGAAGGCTTTGATCTTAGGTGTTAGAATTTTCATCATCAAACATGACTAAACTTCTCATGACTCCTTGCCAAGCCAAGCACACACCTTTCCCACAGAGTGAATGGGCCCAAAGGCAAAGGTATTAATTGGAAGAGGGAAACTGAGCCTTCCTCCTCCCTCCTCATCGGATCATGCCTCCTCCATCCAGGGACACAACTGGGGAAATGGGTCTAGTGACAGGCAGTGCAGAATGAGGAGTGCTTGGGTAAAGGCAGTGGGGCAGGGAGCCAAGAGACAGATGGGAAGGTTGTAATTTACAGCAATTGTTATTAGTGCCTGTGTGCTTTGGTGCAGAGTGAGGGAGGGTGCAATGAGGGAGGGGTGGGGAATCCCTCTGAGCAGAGGTTTCATTGGCAGTTGGTGATTTCCTAATGATCTCATTGCCTTGGGCCCTGGTCCCATAAAAACTGGAGCAGGAGATGGAAAAAACTGCAGTGAAGTCAGAAAGTGCTGCATGTGATGGAGATGTGCTGTCTGATGGGATGCTCTTTGTATTCTCAAAGTGGACACAAAAAATACCAATTACTTCATACTGTGACTGCTTTCCCTGTGAAGCCATCAGCTTACAGACAACTAGCAAAGATGCATTCACTGCTATTGTGGAGCACCTAAACATTGTGACATATCATTAGTTTTACAGAAATTAGTCAGCCTATCAGTCAGTTAGACAGTCTTGGGTTTCTGTTTTAATACAGTGTAGTTTAAATACCATGCAGTACATAGAGACAACAGGGCTGACCCTAAACACTGCTAAGAGTGCTTGTCCGTGAAGCAGCACCATCTGGGGCACATAACACGCAGAAGCCATGCAGGAAAATGATTACTATCATTACAAGTTACCCAGAGAAGTTGTGGATGCCCCTGGAAGTGTCCAAGGCCAGGCTGGATGGGACTTTGAGCAACCTGGTCTAGGGGAAGGTGTCCCTTCACATGGCAAGGAGTGTGGAACTGGATGATCTTTAAGGTCCCTTCCAAACCAAATGATTCTGTGATTCTATGATACTGTCATCTCACTAATGGCTTGAGTTAAATATTTTTAAACATATTGGAAGAAAGAAAATTTCAGAGTCCCACCTACCTCACTCTTTGTCAGGCCAGCTCAGTAGCAGATTGGTGCCCCAGTAGAAGGATGAACCGCTAGAAGGCTCATCCAAAAGATGCCACCTGCCAGCAGCTTCCAGGGGATCTCAGTGGCAGAGCTTTGAGTAGCTACATCCACCTCTCTACATCCTCTACATCCCCTACATCCCTGCCAGCTTTACCTCATCCACAACCTCTGTATCAAGAAGAGCCTGCACGGGGTGAGCAGGCAATGTCGTAAGCACAGCCACAGCTCTGCCCATCCTGGTCTCAATCTCAGCAGCAGTGACTCAGAGGCCATTAGACAGCCCCAAGCAGTGGAGGGTTCCCTACTCCGTGTGTGATCCTCAGCCACACACAAGCCCCAAGAAGATAAAACATCGCAGACTCACCGCAGCGCAGCCGATGGTCCGCGACGGGGAGGACGCTGCTGAAATTCCAGTACTCCTCCTTCCAGCTGACAGTGCTGCCCATGGCACAGCCCAACAGCTCTTCCTGACCCAGCACACGGTCCCACAGCTGGAAGTAGTACAAGCTGCCGATGAAGCTGTTGCTGATCCTCACGATGAAGCCATCCCTTCTCTTGTGCAGGTGGCCCAGTATGAGGCTGCCATTCGGTTTCAGGCACCCTGTGCTGTCCAGGGCTTCGCTGTGCACCAGGTTCCCATTGCAGTAGACCTCCAGCAGCTGTTTTCCAGTGTCCCACAAGCAGCACACACTATACCACACAAAAAGGGCCAGGTCGATCTCAATGTCTCGTTTGGTGCCAAAAAGATACAGTCTCAGGTGCTTGTTTTCTCCAGAGAGCCCGAGTTCTAAGTCATTTATGTCAGTGGAGGTGGTGTTAGTGTCATAGGAAAACGCTGCCCACGAGCTGACATTGGCTGTCCGCTTTAGGTCAATGCACACTGTGAACTGACAGAGCTGAGGGATGCTGAAGTTGACCAGGGACACATATTTATCATTTCTTCCCAGTAAATCCAGTCGTTCTTCATACAGATCCCATGTTTCTGTAAGAAAACGGCATTGGGAAAGAGTAAAGAAGGAAAATGGAGTGTCACTTCCAAAGAAAAAGCTGCCATATGGACTCATTTGGGTTCTTCCCTGAATGACGATTAAGAAAATTAAAACTTTCTTCTATTTCTAGTTTCTACTGCCTTTGAAATTTAATTGAGACCACCCACACTACCAGTAAAGAGAAGATGAATTTAACTTTGCAAAGGAAAAGTTGAAGTCCTCAAGACATGACAAATAGGAATCAACACAGAGTTCAGGTGTAGGTCCACGTGCTCCAAGCCCCATTCAACTTGAACACAGCCTTGAACACTTCCAGGGATGGGGCATCCACAAGTTCTCTGGGCAACCTGTTCCAGTACCTCACCACCCTCAGAATGAAGAATTTCCTCTGAGTATCTAGTCTAAATCTAACCTCCTTCAGTTTAAAGCCTTATGAAATCCATGGACAGAGCTGGTATTGCAGAAGATCTGTGGCGGAGTTTTAGGGGATGTAGAGAGGTGGGTGTAGCTACTCAATTACAACTCAAGCAGTGAGTAATTCATTACAGCACATGAAAATGCAACAGCCATCTTCAGCCATACTTGCCAGCAGCTGCAGGGCCCAAAAGAATAAGAAACCAATTCCCATGGGTTTCTCCAACATTTGAAAATCCCTGTGGGATGTACGACTGGCAGGACTGGCACCTATTCCATAAAAGACCAGAGCACCATTGCATCTCAGCAGAGACATGCTGAGACACCACCCTTTCAGGGGTCAGGCCTTCCAGTGCCTTATAGCAGACAGATTTTCTCAGCTTAAGCTGAGAGAAAGTGGGTACATTTGTCAAGAGCTAACCATTAATTCAGGTCTTTTTATTAGGGAAACTTACCTTGGTTTTCCTCGACTACGTTGTGCACTTGAAGTGACCCCAGTGCTACAGGGTGCATTTTGGAAGTAAGGGTTTTCTCTGTGCCCTGTATTGTTCTTGAGGAGACGTCAAAGAAAGAAATACAAAAACCAACATAGAACTAATTATTGTTTCATTGGGATTTACAGTGGAGTGAAAGGATGTTGAGTGTGTTCATGAAGCACAGATTACTGTGTTTGACCCAAGACCTGAATTATTACTGCAGAATTTGGTTCTGTCAGTAGCTTTGGGCTTTTCCAAGGATACCATGGAGCAAATGCACATGGTGCATTATTTTACAGTGACTGAAGTAAAACTAGAAATAAACTATACAGAAATGCAGGAATATACACAGGAGGAAAACCAGTGAATGATGACAAAATCGAGAGGCTTTTTACCTCCAAATGTGGACAACAGTTGTGATGCAACCAAAACCAGACATTTCACTCCTTGCTGTATTTTCTCATTTGTACTCACTCATCTGCAGCCCAGACTGAACCAGCATCCCAGGAGAGGGTGTGCTTTATGTCCAGACTTGTAGGTCTCTGGCCAGCATGTACTCAGGGATAGACAAGAACCTCAGTACCATTTGCATGGAGAAGAGAGAGGTCCAGAGCAAGAATAGCTGCTGCTCTGGGGCAGAACAAGAGGAAAGCAGGCTCCTGTATGGATACACTGTGTGTACACAAACCAGGACACCATCAGACATCCCCTGGGTTGGGGGATGTCCAAAGCCCACTGGCAGTGGGATTAACCATCCCTATGGTTAATTCTGAGGGAAATTACTGTACCTGAAAGGAAGAAAAGATGAGCAGCAACCACCAAGATGCAAAGAGCCTTGTCAGCAGAGTGCTGTCCAGGGCCGCACAGGAACCTCTTCATTTTTTGTGCGTGTTCTGAAAGAAAGATGTTGGTGAGCACCCCTTTCCTGCACACTTGCCTAAGAAATTCAAACTGCTCCTGCAATTTGCTGGAATGGTATTCACAGTACAGGAGCCCAGAATTCCTTGCTCCTCATGACTGGGCTGAGTCATTATATCAGTCCTCTCTGTAAAGGTCACAGCCTCAACAAACCTGCTGGTTTCTGCTGGTTTCTGAAAGAGATGAGGTTTACACAACTATACTGTGAATGTTTTGTTCATCTGTCACAACTCTGCAAACATTTTGTTCATCTGTCACAACTCTGCAAACCTGTTAGCAACTTCCAACCTGCTTTGATAAAAGCAGACCTTGTTTGAAGTGGTTAAGTTCCTAAAAACGAAGAGAAAACAAGAAGAGAAAGCCCTGCCAGTGCCTCTCAGCTGGATGTGCCAACCCATGGTTATACCCCACAGACTCTGTTGGATTGTAGACCATGGAGCAGCAGGCAGGGCAAGAAGTACATGGAGAAACAGGACACAAGGCTGCTTATGGACAGCACAGCCAAAAAAGTATTTATTCTCACTCCTGGGCTCTGTCTACAAACAAGTTTTCAGCACTTTAATTGAGTCCTGGGAACATGGGGAAGGGCTAATTCCAGTATAAGCATACACTGAATACATAAAGCAAAATCCAAATATGCCACTCTAAACTGAAAGGAGTTTATTCTGTTGTGTGCTTCAGTCTGACTAAAGTTGTTTCCAAAATGATTACAGTTAAACCAGAGCAATGGAATGGACAGGCAGCCTCGATGCCTGAGAGCCCCAGACTTGCTCCGCATGCCCTGCACGCTCCCCCTGGTGCTCTGTCCTCTACTCACAGAGGGAAGGGATTATTCTTGGTTTAGGACCACATTGGATTAAATCTTCAGCTATTAATGAGTTACATAAAATGGCTGTGAGGGATGAACTAGATTCTCAGATAGTCTAAGCTGGTCAAGTCCCTTCAGTGGAGTCACTTGGCTTCACGTGAGACAGAGCCCTCGCCTGGGGCTCCCCACAAAAAGTTACAACACCCTGGCCACTGACAAAATAAAAATTGTCCCTTTGTTTTCAGACATGTAAAATAAACAATAGAAAATTACAACCCCCCCGAGCTAATAACAACTGTCTCCATTTCCTTTAAAAACCTGCATCTTATAAAACTTACAAGGTTAGGGAATGTCATCCAGGTGTCCATTTACTGCTGTGACAACAAATCTCTTCTCTCAGGCTCCTCCTTTATTACTCCAGCAATTATTTTCTGACTTTTGCAGTAACACTTAAGGAAAAAAGCATTATGCTCCCAGCCCATAGTACCTAAATAGGAGTTATTGTATATTTTCATACTTTCTTTTAAAAACATCATAGTTATTTAAAGTTGCTGCTCAAAAACTCACCTCCCTGTGTAGGACAGAAATCAAGGTAGATTTTGCTCCAGACTGTTTCTTCTGTCAGGCACCAAAAGACCAGTGAAGAGGATATGAAGTGAAAATCAGATGGGATGTTGTAATATTTTCACTGGGTCAGGAAATGAAGAAAAAGTTATTTCTGTTCTGAAACCACATTTCTTAGGTCCTGAAAAGTCTGCTGTGATAACAAATCTCTGCTCCCAACCGCCTCTTTTATTACTCCAGCAATGATTTGTTGACTTTTGCAATAACATTTAAGAAACAAATCATTACACTCCCAGCCAGTGGCACGTCACAGGGTCATATTCAGTTTTGTCCAGAGCAAAGTCCAGAACATGAAGTATTATAAAATACAAATTAGAAAGAAACAATTGAACTGAAGAGATCCCCTTGTTTCTGATTCAAAAGTGACTGCATTACAGAACGTCAGTTGTAATTTCCCCACAACAGCTCTCTAGCCTCTGACTGTAGTATGTAGCACTATAATGTAGAGATCTACACCAGTATCTTTCTTCCCTCCTGCAAGATATTAATTAGTCAAGTTCAAAAAATATTAATTATCGATTCCTGCTGAGAAAGAGTGAGATCAAGGAGTGCGTCACCCCAGGGAAGGACGATCCTGCATGAATGTCACTTTGGCCAGCCAGAGGTTGAGTCTTGAATTCTGTGAGTTTGCTCCAGAGGGATACGATGGCTTGGGGAGCTTGCAGCTGTCTCCTGCAAGAGCGTGATCTTGAATGTTTTGGCAGTGACTTCCAGCAGTTCGACTCCCTTACTGGATCTGATAGGGACAGAGATAAGAGGAAGTGGAGAGAGCATGAAGCTCCCAAGGCTGCTGAACACTGCAGCCTGCTCCTCCAGACAGTCTCCAAACAGGATGGAAATGTCCCTCTCTTCTGCTTACCTACATAATCTATTTATCATCTTCACCTTTCTGATAAATTGGTCTCCTCCTCTTGGTTTCCCCCATATAAATGCCCCAGACTTCAAGTTGCTCCCCAAAAAACTATGACAGCACCACTTAGCCAAACTGCTCCATATTTCAGGAGCTCCTCTCCTGCCTTGTCTTCTCCCTTTGCACCAGCACAAACCCTCTCACAGCCAAGCACCTGTGGCCGAGCACCCTCCTGCCATCCACCAGCCTCAGCCAGAATGTTTTGGTCTCCTTCTCTTATGGGCAGATCACATCCATGAAAATTGCTAGGTGTGCACTGTATCTCACCAAATGCATGCAATATAGGTTCTAGCATTCACATAAGCCCTTGCATGGAGCTTTCTGAAACAGGGACTGTGCAGGACTTTCCAAGGATTTCCATTTCCTCCATCTTCTTTTATCTGTTTCCGTGCTTATCAGTTTACTTTGATGTTTGTAATTATTCAGCACAAGTTGTTTATCAGCTTCACTAGAGATGATTGTAAAGGGTCTGGAACACCACGTGAGGGCACCTGCTCTTTAACACTGAGTCACAACAAGAGCCTGCTTGAATAACTAGCATCCTGCATCCATGTCTGGTCAAAACTTTCCTAGGAAGATTTAGAAGAGGACCCTTAGGACTAAGAGCAGGAAAAGACTGTGATTGAGGAGTACAATGAAATGAGAGAAGCAGAGAGTGAAGACAGAACACATTCAGGCTCACTAGGGCCATTCAGATAAAAAGAAATTTTGCTTTACAGTGGATGAGCGAAGATTTTTTGCTGGGAGGTTGCTATGGCGACTTTTCAGCTCTCCCAAACCTCCTCATACTGTAATTACATCTCCAAGCCCAGGAGCTGGGAATCTTTGATTCTTTGGAGGAAGAATGTGGGTGGCTGATTCTTCAGGATGTTTGTCAACCAGACATTTTTATTCTAAAACAAAACAAAAAGTGCCTTTAACAGCTGCTTACAGTTTCTATGAACCCTTCTGGCCTCACTGGCTGCCATCCTCTGAGACCTTGAATAATTTTTAACTAAGGGGCTCTCTTTTCAGAACACCTCCATCCTGCAAAGGTTATTTAGAGGATGTTTATCTCCCAGTTGGGCTGAGCTTTCTTTATACCACTGCACATTTCAATTTGGTCCCTGAACTAAAAAGTGCATAATGACATGAGTATTTTCGCATTTCCTAAGCTTTTGTTATTTAATTCAGTTGTCACTGACTGAGCACTGGAAGCACAGAGGCTGTGCAAATATTATCCATATTTTCTAGTCAACAGACTTACCCAATCCTGCACAGCTCCCCTGAGATAACACACCATTAAAAAAGAGTTAAAGCCCAAAATACATATCCTTTGAATCAGAAACAATCAGAACACTGTTGTTCAAAATAAACAGTATAAAATATTGAACAGCAAAGGGATCCAGTATTATGTTTCAACACACAATTGTAATTGGTTCTGTTCAAAACAGAAGCATCAGGTGCCTCGCACAGTCACACAGCACAGAGATCTGGCTGCACAGGACAGCTGGCTGAGCAGAGGGAGGGCTGGAACTGCCCTCCAGACACTGACCTGTAAATATCATCATAAAATCATGATAAAAATATCATTTACAGATCATAAATCCTAAAGCTGCAAATTTTATTGTAAAATATTACATTAGTTCACTAAATAAGGGCAAGAAAAGTTAGCAGGGTGTTTATCTTTTCTTTTAAAAACCCTGAAACGTGAAAACATCAAGGAGTATTTTCTGAGACAGCTGGAAACTAGCCCATACAAATTTCTAGGCTATAAATTGATTTCAATACAAACTTG